TTAAACAAAACAGACTTTCAGACAAGCAGTTTTACTATAGACAAGGAGGGGTAGATAATGAGAAAAGAGTCAATACACTATAAATGTATATGTGCCTAATTACAAAGCTCTAACACATACACAAAGCAAAAACTGACAGACTTAAAAGGAAAAATACATAAATTAACAAGCATAGCTTGAGATTTCAATACTACTCTCTTAGTAATTGATAGAACAAGTAGTCAGAATATGATTAGAGAAGACTTGTACCAGAAAATCAAACCAACTTGACCTTACCTTTAAAGACTACTCTACCTATAACTGCAGAATTCACATTCTTTTCATGCACATCTGGAACATGTGTCAATAAAATTTAGAAGATGAAACCAGAGAGTACATTTTCTGACCAAGATGGAATTAAATTAGAAACCTACAACTAAGAAGTATCCAGAAAAATCTAAAATATTTGGAAATTAAACACATTACTAAACAACACATGGGTCAAAGACAAAATCATAAGGGAAATTAGAAAATATTTTGTATTGAATATAAATGAAAAAAAGATATATCAAGTCTATGAATACTTAAAAGCAGTGCTTAGAGTGAATCTTATAGCTTTAAATGATTGTACGAGAAAAGAAGTAAAAAACCAATGATGTTGGGCTTCCCTGGTGGCACAGTGGTTGAGAGTCCGCCTGCCAATGCAGGGGACACGGGTTCGTGCCCCGGTCCGGGAAGATCCCACACGCCACGGAGAGGCTAGGCCCGTGAGCCATGGCCGCTGAGCCTGCGCATCTGGAGCCTGTGCTCCGCAACAGGAGAGGCCACAACAGTGTGAGGCCTGCGTACTGCAAAAAAAACCCAACAAAAACCAATGATTTAAGTTTCCACTTTAAGAACCTAAAAGAAAGAGGAAATTAAGTCCAAAGTAATTACAAGGAAGGAAATAGCAAATATAAGAGGGAAAATCAATGAAATATAAAATAGGTAAAAACTATAGAGAAAGTCAATGAAATCAAAAGCTGGTTCCTTGAAAAGATCAATAAAACTAATAAAACCTCTAGCTAAACTGACCAAGAAAAAAAGAGATAAGACACAAATTATCAAAATCAGGGATGAAAGAGGGACATCACTAGAGATCCTTCAGACAGAAAAGGATAATAAGAAAATACCATGAGCAACTTTATGCCAATAAATTTGACAACTTGGATAAAATGGACACATTCCTTGAAAGAAATTATCAAAACATTCAAGAAGAAATAGAAAACCTGAATAGCACTAGATTAATTAGAGACCTTAACTGATAATTAAAAAGCTTCCTATAAAGAAAACTCCAGGCCCAAATGACTTTACTGCTGAATTTCACCATACTTTTAAGGGACAAAGAATACAAATACTACACAAATTCTTTCAGAAAAGAGAAGTGAACATTTTCCAACTCATTTTATGAGGTATTAACCTGATAACAAACTTGAAGAAGACATCACAGAAAAACTACAGACAAATATCCCTCATGAACACAAACAAAAAATCTTTAACAAAATACAAGCAAGTCCAATACACTAACATATAAAGAGAAAAACACCTCACAACCAAGTGGAGCTTACCTCGGAAGACTGATGTAACACTTGAAAAATCAATGTAATTCATCATATTGATATAATGATGGAGAAAGACTATATTATCATCTCAGTAGATGGAGAAAAAGCATTTGACAAAGTTCAACACCCATTCATGTGGCAAACTAGAAATAGAAAGGAACCTCCTCAACCTAAGAAAGGGCGTTTATGAGAAGCCAACAACTAACGTTACATACTTAATGGTTAAAGACTGAGGGGACCTCCCTGGAGTCCCAGTGGTTAAGACTTCGCCTTCCAGTGCAGGGGGTGTGGGTTTGATCCCTGGTCGAGGAGCTAAGATCCCACAAGCCTCGCAGCCAAAAAAAACAAAACATAAAACAGAAGCAATACTGTAACAAATTCAATAAAGACTGTATAAATGGTCCACATCAAAAAAAAATCTTTAAAAATATAAAGATTGAATGCTTTCCCCCTAAGATAAGGAACAAGGCAAGGATGTCTGTTCTCACCACTTCTATTCAACATCAGGTCCTAACCAACACAAAAAGGCAAGACAAAGAGATAAAATGCATACATACTGAAAGCAATCTAATAAGCAAAGAAAAATTAAGTCAATTTAGCAAGGTCATAGGATACAAAGTCAATACACAAAGACCAGCTGTATTTCAATATTACCATTAATGAACAATTGGAAAATTTAAAAAACCTACTTCCATTTATAAAAGCTTAAGAAAATACTTAGGAACAAATTTAACAAAAGATGTTACAACGTTTGCATAATGAAACTACAAAACATGATTGAGAGACATTAAAGAAGACTTAAATAAATGGAGAGACAGTCCACGTTCATGGATTGGAAGACTTGCCATTGGGGAAAAAAAAAGCAACATACAGCTTCAACACAATTCCAATACCAAAATAATCTAAGACAAGAGAACAGTTTTGGAGGACTCACACCACTAAAGTCACTAAAAGAGTCACTAAAAACTACAAAAATTAAGACAGTGTGACACTGATATACTGATGTAAAGACAGAAGAATCAATGGAAGAGAACAAAGTTCAGAAGCAGATCCATATGTAATGGTCAACTGATTCTTTAACAAAGTTGCTAAAGTAATCCAATGGGGAAAGAACAGTCTTTTCAACAAATGGTACTAGGACAACTGGCTATGCCTATGGGAAAAAAAAAGGAATCTTGACTCTTACCTCATACCACACACAAAAATTAACCTGGAAGGTATATGTATACTTAAATATAAGAGCTAAAGTCATAGAACCTCTAAAGAAAACATAGAAAATCTTTGTGACTTTGGGGTAGCCAAAGATTTCTTAGCTAGTAAAGTCTGAAACATAAAAGGAAAGCTAAAAAATTATAGTTCACAAAATTTAAAACTTTTGTTTTCAAGAGACAATGTTAATAAAAGTAAAAGGCAAGTCATAGACTAGGGAAAAATATCTGCAAAACATATGGACTTGTATCCACAAATATATAAAGAACTCTTACAATTCAATAAGGCAAACAATTCAATTAAAAAATATTTAAGGCAAAAGATTTAAACAGACATTTCACAAAAAAGACATATAAATGACCAAGAAGCACATGAAAAAGATGCGAAGAATTACACACGCACTAGAATGCCTAATATTAAAAAAAACCACAGTAATACTAAGTATTGGTACAAATGTGTAGCAACTGGAACTCTCATACATTGCTGGTGGGATGCAAAATGGTACAGTCACTTTGCAAAACAGTTTGGCAGTTTCTTATAAAGTTAAACATACACTTAGCATGTGACCCAGCAATTCCACTCGTAGGTATCTACCCAAGAGAAATGAAAACATATGTCCACACAAACTTTTATGCAAATTGTTCACAGCAGCATTATTCATAACAGCCAAGAACTGAAAAGAACCCAAATGTCCATGAAATGGTGGATGGATGAACAGATTATGGTATATTTCTACAATGGAACACTACTCTGCAATACAAAGGAACAAACTACTGATACACACAACAAATGGATGAATCTCAAAAACATCATACTAAGTGAAAGAAGCCAGACACAAAAGGCTATTCATGATTCCATTTATATGAGATCTTAAAAAAGGTAAACCACAGTGACAAAAAGCAGATTATTGGCTGCCTGGGATTGGGAGTGGGGAAAGGGAACTGAGTGTAAAGCGTTAGAAGGAAACTTTCTGGAGTGATATTCTAGGTCTTGATTTTGGTGGTGGTTATACAACTGTGTTTAAACTCGTCAGTGTGTACACTTAAAAATGAATGAATTTTATTACATGTAAACTATACCTCAATCAACTGTGAAACACACACACACACACACACACACACACACACACAGGGCCTGCAGATTCCTCGGGACCCACGGCATCTCATGCGCCTGGCTTGGGGTTTCAGATGGCAGTTTTCAGAAGAACGTCTAGTATTGAAAAATAATTGATAAATGACTAGTTTTTTCATTAGGGGAATTCAACATGTAAAGAAAAATTATATAAAACTTAGAAATAAGACAAAGGGAAGACTGCATATCCTTTAAGTGATATACTGGAGGACTGCTTACTTACTCCTCTAAGAGAACGTCCTTATGTTTGACTTTCCTGTCTACTATTGACTGAAGGCCCAGATACTGTGAATTTTCATGTTACCTTACAAATTTTTCTAATAAAAATGCAAATGATTTCTGTCCAATAGAAAAGATAACCCCAGGACTTCCCTGTTGGTCCAGTGGTTAAGACTCCGCGCTTCCACTGCAGGGGGCACGGGTTTGATCCCTGGTTGGGGAACCAAGATCGCGCATGCCGTGTGTTGGGGCCATAAAAAGGAAAAAAAGGAAAACAAAGATAACCCTGGTGGTTATGGGTTTATTGCCTTGTATGACATTAATCAGTGTTGTATCTAATTTGCAATCTTTTTTTAACATCCTTTTTTCAAATGCCTACAAACACCTGAGCCTTCAAATGCTTAACCCTAACCCTAACTTTCCCTGCTATTTCTCTCACTAATGGGTTGAAAAATTTTGACACAAGTTCATTCTATAGGTGTATAAAGTTACGGTTTTAACTTAAAAAATCATACTTTGATGACTATTATTTAATGCTTCATTTGAGTGTCACTTCAAATCATCTCAGGTACAATGAGATAGTCACACATTTTGAGAAACCCATTAGGTTACACCTGACATGAAAACTTGGAGGGTTATTTCTTAGTATACAGCACTTTAAAAAAAAAAAAAACTTTATGAGTATTCTGTGTTAGTGTCAGGGTTAGGGAATCTTGATGAAGCCTCTATTATTTATTTTTTCCATGTTGTAACCTACCATGTAGACTTATAAAGCCAATTCTTCACCCCTTGCATTAAATCCTTTGGAATATACCCTCCTTATAAAAGTGAGACTTGATTTTTAACTTAGAAAATCCATACTTTGTTTCTTGGATACTTCTTCTTCATCTCCAACTTCATCTTCAGTGACCTCGGACCCAGTGGTATATTCTTCTTCTTCTGAAAATAATGACTGCTGTTTCTGAATTGAAAACACAAATACATCGTATTAAAACTGTATGTTATCACATCACCAATGAATTCTTTCAAACACACTCATCTAAATTTATTTTGGATGAATGAGCCAAACAAGAACTGATAAAATGACCACTGTCTAGCACAACTTTCAGGAAATGGATGTAAGAATTTCTACATTTAGGACAAGATAGCATTACATTAAATATTTTAAAAATTTATTTCCTTCACAGATGCTAGCAGAGTGATGGGCACATTATAAGTACTCAGTATTTGTTGAATTGCACTTCTATCACTCAATTGAAAGTATTTTCCTTGATATTAAGATTAAATTAGGAACTTCCCAGGTGGTCCAGTGGTAAAGAATACGCCTTCCAATGCAGGGGATGCGGGTTTGATCCCTGGTCAGGGAACTAAGATCCCACATGCCATGGGGCAACTAAGCCCGCATGACACAACTATTGAACTCGTGTGTCTCAACTAGAGAGCCTGCGTGCCGCAAACCAGAGACCACACTCTCTGGAACCCATGTGCCACAACTACAGAGCCCACGTGCCCTGGAGCCTGCGTGCCACAACTAGAAAAGAGAAAAAAAACAAACCCCGCATGCCACAACTAGAGAAGCGTGTGCAGCACAATGAAAAATCCCCTCATGACTCAACAAAGATCCCACGTGCTGCAACTAAGACCTGATGCAGCCAAAAATAAATAAATAAACCTAAAAAAAAAGATTAAACTAAAATACAATAATTGCCAATATGAATGTAGTCTCATAAACAAGTAAATGTGCACATTCTCTGGGTGAATGTGGTGCTGGATCATCTGAACGTATCGTCATCAGTTTCCTCCATCTATCTACCCTACTGTCTGTTATCACTGATACAAATTTCTATTCCATTCTTGTGAATACTGGTGGCAGATGGCATAGTAATGGCAAATAGGTAAAACACAACAAAAAAATCAATCAATCAAACAACCAAATAATTGGAACTTAATTGATATGTTCTTTTGTTCAGTGTTCTAAATGTGACTTAAAAGTGACTTTAAAAAAGTCATTTAAGAAAACTTATGGATTATGCAGCTAGATAATGGAGTATGTGTCTGTTTTAAACAATGACTTTTTAATAAGTGCAAAATTACAGAAGCTGAAAAGGATGATATACATTTAACTAAAATCTATAAAATTAGATACTTATGAGATTCTATTAAACTGAACTTTGATTTAGGAAGAAAGAGATTCATGAAAGTGAAATATAGTTGCTCACTTACCAGCTGCAGTGTCCAGTTTTTCAGTGATAAGAACTATAAAAAAGACAAAGGAATAAGAGATTAATATATCTGCATCTACCCAGATTGCAGCTCCTTATTTTCATATGGATATTGTAGAAGAGTTGGGAAAAGTTAAAGAAGTTCATTCCCTTCTAGGTTGAAACATAATTTTAAACTCATCTAAAAATGATATAGTACAATCTTTTGTATTTCCTGCCCAGAAAACATGTGTATGTCTACAAAAAAGAAAAAAAAAAAATCAACATTTCCTAGGGTCATTTCCAAAGGACAAGTAAATCACATATAGAGATAATATAATTTTATATTGTGAATTATTTCAATCACTTTTTAATGTTTATATTCTATTATAAATTAAGGAACCAGATTATATATGGATATTCAAGAAATCTAATTTGCTATTTTGTATATAATTTATAAATAAATGTTAGTAATTAAACACAGCCATCTAAAGTTTATAATGCATTTTACATGGAATATTTCATTTTCTCAAGTAAATGCTACTTCCAACACAGACAGGAAGTTCACAGGCAAACAGAGACTCCCTGGCTGTTAGTAACAGGAATCAAAGGAATCAAAGCTTTCTAGTCACCTTGAAAATATCTCAGTTTTGAAACCCTGGAAAAACTAAATGCATTACTGAATACAATTAACAAAAAGAATTTCACACCAAAAAATGTTTATAGGACTAGGAGGGGATAAAATATCCCATTCATACTATCTTCATTTCTCAAATCATTATTTGTCCATAATAAACCCTGAAGACTATATTTTTCCCCCAAATTTAAGTTGATTAATTATTAATTCTTTGAGTGCAAGGAATGCATCATCCTTATAGTCCTGTTAACTCAGCATAATACCTTGTTATGAGAGTTAATGCATATTAATGGAAAATTTCAATATTAATTTAAACCGATCAAATTTCTGTCAAAAATTAAATATTATCAATTGTTTTTATAAATAAAGAATAAATGAAGCAAGCTACTTACAGCATTGAGCTCCCCACTCTTGGGGCCCCATGGTGTATTTGGCTCCAGTAAAACATCACAGTCTAGACCCTTTTCATCACAGGGACCACCAGAATCACTTGAAAGGAAAAGACATTTTATGGAGAAGTGTTCAATTTAAGATTTTTTTTTTTGGCCTTGCTGCGCAGCTTGCAGGATCTTAGTTGCCCAACCAGGGATCAAACCTGGGCCCTGCCAGTGAAAGTTGCCGAGTCCTAATCACTGGACCGCCAGGGAATTCCCCAATTTCTTAAGAATTTAAATGCAAACAATATCTTTTCTTATTGCAAATGTTTTATAAATTGCTCTTTAGAAATACAGTTCTTGAGTATAAAGGTATGCCACTTCAACATTTACATTTCTTAATGCATCTAGTGACTCCCCCAGCATAAGTCACTCCATATGGGGGGAGCACCACTATACTCCAAGCATTGTACCTGCCAGGTGGTGAAACAGGCTGCTATGGTGGATACTGCTTTGAGGACAGCTTTTATTAGAGAGTCCTCCTACCCCCAACCTGACAGCCTGTTGCAACTGTAAATGATGGAAGTGACTTCATTAATTACTGAATCCAAGGAGTTCAAATTTATGCAAAGATAACCTCAACCATCAATTTTTTTTTCTAGTTCCATCAATTAGCTAAGATGGGCTTAAGTAACTTGGAAAACATTTTTTAAATCCTCTAAAATTGGAGTGTGGGCCCCACCCTTTGAATCACCAGGAACTCCTATTATTAGTTTTTCTTCCCCTTGGACTTCCAATATTTAGAGGTTTTTTTCCTACCAAATAAACATCTGCTTGCTCTTATTGTAAGCTAAGATATAATTTCAGCTAGGCTTTCTGAAATAACGAAAACAACTGCCATTACTGATTTGGGGAGGTACTGGGGGGTAGAGGATTCCAGGATGCGAACCATTGAATAAAGCCGCAGTACACCATTTCCCCCACCTCACCTGACTGTATCTTTAGCAAAAGGCACAAGAATGACATCTTTGTGTTTCTGCAGATCATCCAGTATTCTGGCAGTTGGGCAGGACAGCAAATCTTCACCTTCACCTTGATCACGAAGAACAACCATGTGGTCCTTCACTTTACAACCCTGTCACGTAAAAGACTAAATTTGAGAGGCTGGTTCATTATAGAAACATTCCTTTAAAGACGACTGTATGTTTCTGTTCTTCTTTACCCCGTCACACCATCCTACTAACACTTTTACACCTTTCTCAGTATCTCAAAAAATAATACTCATACAGAAAAGAGCAAGAAACAGAAATGTATACCTTAACAAATATCCATGTAACACTATCCACACTAAAAAACAGAATATTGCCAATACTCCAGGATTCCTCTTGGGCCCATTCCCAACCATAATTGCCTCCATCCTCCCCAAAGGATAACCTCTACCTCGACTTTTATGGTTCTTACTTTCTTGCTTTTACCTTTTACCACTTAAGGATGTATTCCTAAACACTACAGTTTAGTTTGTCTCATTTGTATTGTTTTTTTTTTTTTGAAATAAATTTATTTATTTATTTATTTATTGGCTGCATTGGGTCTTTGCTGCTGCACACGGGCTTTCTCTAGCTGTGGCGAACGGGGTCTACCCTTCGTTGTGGTGCGCAGGCTTCTCATTGCAGTGTCTTCTCTTGTTGCGGAGCACAGGCTCTATGTGCACAAGCTTCAATAGTTGTGGCACATGGGCTCAGTAGTTGTGGCTCGTGGGCTCTAGTGCTCAGGCTCAGTAGTTGTGACCCATGGGCTTAGTTGCTCTGCGGCATGTGGGATCTTCCCGGATCAGGGCTCGAACCCATGTCCCCTGAATTGGAAGGCGGATTCTTAACCACTGCGCCACCAGGGAAGTCCCATCTCATTTGTTTTAATACTATGTTTTTGTGATTCAACCATGTTACTACATGTAACTAACATTTGCTTTAATGGACAGTATGCCATTGTATGAATAATCACAATTTGCTTATCTATTCTACAGCTGGTGGATGGGTTATTTCCAGTTTGGAACTAGTCCAAGTAGTAGTATTATGAACATTCCTTAACATGTTTCCTGATGCACAAGTGCTCATGTATACCAAATTAAATTACTATCAGCAGTGTATGAGAGTTCTCATTACTCTATGTTCTTGATAACACTTGGTGAGACATTTTAATTGTAGTCATTCTGGTGAGCATGTAGTGGTATCTGTGGTTTTAATTTGCATTTCCCCAATTAAAAATGAGGTTGAGCTCCTTTTCATGTTTACTGAACAACAAGGAACTTTCTGGTGTGAAGTTCCTATTGTCGTTTCTTATTAATTTGTACAAGTCAAAAAAATCTTAATATGAACCTTTTATGGATATGTGTTGCTAATATCTGGTCCCACCTGTGAGTCTGTCTCCTCAGTTTAAGTTTATTTAATGTAGTTAATGTACTTGAATTTAAAATCTCTCCCTTTATGGTATTATCTTTTAATACCTTTATAAGTTTTTTATTCTTTTCTGGCCACCCTGCACAGCTTGCGGGATCTTAGCTCCCTGACTAGGGATCGAACCCGCTCCCTTGGCAGTAAGAGCACAAAGTCCTAACCACTGGACTGCCAGGGAATTCCCAGCTTTATTAGCTTTTGTTTCACGTATAGGCTTTTTTGGGGGAATAGTTTGGGCTATTTTTTCCCCATTTTGATATCCCAATGTCCCGGTACCTCTTATTGGAAAGTCTATCCTTTGCCCACTGCTCTGTAACGTCACCTCTGTCACAGTAGCTAGGCAGCTTTGAGTACAAAGTACTCAAAGTATCTAAGTAGCTTTGAGTACAGACATTCCTTGGTATCTGTGGGGGATCAGTTCTAGGAGTCCCCATACATACCAAAATCCACAGATTCAACTAACCGCAAATTATGTAGTACTGTACGTCTTTATTTTTTTAAATTCATGTATAAGTGGACCTACACAGTTCAAACCAGTGTTGTTCAAGGGTTAAATGTACTTCATTCTCTGCTACTGGTCCAGCTGTTTAATCTTTATCAGTATCACTCTATCTTAATTACCTAAGACTTAAAATAAATTTTGATACTGAGCAGAGAAAGTACTTCTACCTTTGTATTCTCTGAGAGTTTCTTAGCTATTCTTGGCCCTTTGTATTTCCATAAATATTTCAGGATCAGCTTAGAAAAGTTCCTGATAAAAACCTGTTAGGATTTTTACTGAGATCGCATGGATCTATATAGGTCAGTTTGGTGAACATTTATATCTTTACAATACTGAGTCTCTGAATCCATGAACATGGTATAAAAATCCATTTTTAGTTTCATTTTCTCTGAATAATGTGTTTTCTATATAGAGTTCTTGTGCTTTATTTTATTAGATTTATTCCTAGGTACTTATTTTTGAGGCTACTGTAAGTGGTTTCTTTTTATAAATTTCATTTTCTAATCTCATTGGTTTATAGAAATACAATTGATTCTGTAAATGATTTTTAATAGATCAATCTTAAATTCTTACTAATTCTAATGATTTGTCTGAAGATTCTTCAGGGTTTTCTACATTCACAATTATCATCTGCAAATTATGAGAGCTCCATTCAATCTCTATAACCTTTTAATATTTCTTTTTCTTGTGTTAATATACTGTTCAGGACCTCCAGATCAATTTGAATAGAAGTATGTTGACAATGAGCATCCTTATCATGCTCCCAATTTCAAAGGAAAATTTTTCTACATTTCACTATCAAGTGTGATATTTGCTGTAAGTCTTTTATTATGTATCCCTTATTAGATTACATCATGTCCCTTTTATTTCTATTAGTAAGAATTTTAAATTTTTGTTTCTGCTTTTTTAATCATTCCACTCATTCCCTTCACACACATTAATTCAGAAGTTATACACTCTTCTATGCTTTTAGTGGTTACCCTAGAACTTATAACATGTATCCTCGACTTATCAAAGTCTAATTTGTTAATACACTCCCTAATGCAAGACCTTTTAAACTCCATTTCATCACTCTCCCAACTTATAGGCTATTATTATGGGTTTTAATATTATACACTAAAATGTATAGTATATAACAATTATTTTAAAATTAGCTATACGATTAATGTAATTATACATTTATTAAAAACACACACATAAAGCATTACCACAGTTGTTTTCCCATTATTGCTTCATACAGCCAATGTTCATTTAGATTTACCAATATATTAATTTCTTTCTTTGGTCTTCATTCCTTCCTGTATCTTGAGAACATCCATTAGTATTTCTTTTTTAAAAAAAAAAATTATTTATTTTTATTTATTTGGCTGCACTAGGTCTTAGCTGCATCACGTGGGATCTTTGTTGCAGCATGTGGGATATCTTTAGTTGTGACACGTGGGCTCTTAGTTGTGGTATGTGGGATCTAGTTCCCTGACCAAGGATCAAACCCGGGCCCCCTGCATTGGGAGCGTGTAGTCTTAACCACTGGACCTCCAGGGAAGTCCCAGTATTTCCTTTTTAAAGCAGTTTGCTAGCTGCAAATTCTTTCAATTTTTCTTTGCCTAAAAAATCTTTATTTTGCTTTCATTCTCAAAGGATATTTAAGGAAGGCACAGATTTTCTAGATTATTAACTATTTCTTTTGTCACACTGCAGACCTAGTGGAGGGACTTCCCTGGTGGCGCAGTGGTTAAGAATCTGCCTGTCAATGCAGGAGACATGGGTTCTAGTCCTGGTCCGGGAAGATTCCACATGCCATGGAGCAACTAAGCCCAACTACCGAACCTGCACTCTAGAGTCCACGAGCCACAACTACTGAGCCCACGCGCCTAGAGCCCATGCTCCGCAACAAGAGAAGCCACCACAATGAGAAGACTGCGCACCACAACAGAGTAGCCCCCACCCGCCACAACTAGAGGAAGCCCATGTGTAGCAACGAAGACCCAACACAGCCAAAAATAAATAAATAAATTTATAAAAACAAAACAAAACAAACAAAGAAGACCTAGTGGACTATACCTTGGCTTCCATTGCTGTTGCTGAGATGTGAACTCTAATTATTGATTTTTTGAAGAGATTCTATACTTTTTCCCTCTGGTTGCTTTAAAAATGCTCTTTTTGTTTTCTGCATTTTCATTATGATAGGTATGGGTATGATTTTTTTTTTCCTGAAAGACATTCTTTTTTTAAAGTAAAAAAATTTTTTTCTTCCAGTTTATTGAGATATAATTGACCTACAGCACTGCAGAAGTTTAAGGAATACAGCATAATGATTTGATTTACATACATTATTAAGTTATTATCGCAATAAGCTTAGTGAACATCCATCATCTCATATAGGTACAGAATTAAAGAAATAGAAGATTTTTTTTCTCTTGGGACAAGAACTCTTAGGATTCACTCTCTTAACATTTATATATAACAGTTACATTTATCATGTATATTACAGGATTTCTTTTCTTACTGGGAGTCAATGAAATTCTTGAATCTATAAGTTAATATCTCTCAATAATTCTGAAATATCTTAGCCATTATCTCTTCAAATTTTGCCTCTGATCCATTCTTTTTCTCTTCTAAGGGGAAGCCCCATTAAAAACTTAGACCTTCTCACACAAAAACACAAATACTGTATGATTCCACAATAGAGGTAGTCAAATTCATAGAGACAAAGTAGAGTGGTGGTTGCCAGGAGGCAATGGGAATTGTTCATTAGGTAGAGAGTTTCAGCTTTGCAAGAGGAAAGAGTTCTGGAGATGGGCTGCACAACAACAGGAATATATTTAACATTACTGAACTCTATGCTTAAAAAATGATGATGGGGGGCTTCCCTGGTGGCGCAGTGCTTGAGAGTCCGCCTGCCGTTGCAGGAGACGCGGG